TGGAGTTACACTGAATTTGTAGATTAACACAGTTAACTAGTGTTTCTTCCCATCAAGGAACACGGTATGTCTATTCAGATCTTCTTTCAGATTTTTCAATAAAGTTTTATAGTTTCTTCATATAATTTTCCATACGTATTACAGAATTTATTCCTTGGAAACAATTTTAGGCTGTTATAAGGTCTTTCATTTCCCATTACATTTTCTAGTTAGATATTGCTGATATATAAGAAAATTAAAACACTTGCATGTTCCTTTTGAATCTGGCCAAGTAACTGAACTCTTGTTTCATTTGTTTATCAGTTGAATGCCTTGTATTTTGTACAGACATCTAAAAATAACAATTTTAAAAAATTATTTTCAATAATTATGTCTGTATTTCTTTTTTAAGCTTTCTACCTGAACCTCCAAGGTAAATAGAAGATGTGAGTGATGGCAGTCTTATCTTTCAACTTGGTTAGGTTCTTGTTCTTAGTTGCCATCAAGTCAATTCTGATTTATGGAGACACCATGTGTTACAGGGTAGAACTGTTCCATAGGGTTTTCCTGGCTGTACGTGTTAACTAGAGCAGATGGCCAGGACTTTTCTTCTGCAGCACCACTGCCTGTGTTCAAACCTCCTACCTTTAGGTTAGCAGTCAAATCCAAACTGTTTGCACCACCTACGGACCTCAGTTAGGCTACCAAAAAAATATAAAAAGGTTACTGTCAAGTTGATTCCAATTCATAGAAACTGTACTGGTGAGAGCAATACTGTTCCACAAGGCTATAGTACCCAGGATGAACAAGGAAGAAAGAAGAATTTATACATTTGAATTACGTTGTTGGCAAAAATTATGTTGTTGGCAAAAATACTGAATATACCATGGACTGCCAGAAGAAGCATCAATCTGTCTTGGAAGTACACACAGAATGCTTCTTAAAAGCATCTCACATACTTTGGCCATGTTACCGGGAGGGTCCTGTCACTAGAGAAAGACATCAAGCCTGGTAAAGCAGATGATCAGTGAAAAAGAGGAAGGCCCTCAATGAGATGGATTGACACAGTGCCTGCAACAATGGGCTCAAATATAGCAATGATTTTGAGTATCGTACACAACTGAGCAGTGTTTTGTTCTGTTGTACATAGGGTGGCTATGACTCAGAACCAACCTGATGACACATAACAACAAAAGAGTAACCAGTTAGTCAATAAAACACGAAGCTCAGAGTTGCTCTGAAGGAAAAGAATACATTTCCAACACTTATTTCCAAGAAACAACTGGTATATTAAATAATATATAGGTGAAAGATAGAAATTAGGGACATAAAGATGTAAAATTATTTCCCTGTCAAAACTGAATTACTATTATCAACCATGGGAGACTAGAAGAGCAGTATTTGCACAAGGAGATAGTTCAAAGGGCAGGAATTCATAGGAAAGAAGGACGTAGGGAAAAGGTAACCAGAGAAGAGGGAATGGAGACAGGACTGTTAACACTGTAGTGACTGCAAGCAATGTCATAAAACAAAACGTGTAAACTATCAGATGGAAAATGAACTTGCTCTGTAAACTTTCACCCAAATCATAATTTTAAATAAACAATAAATTAACTGATTAAGGAATCAGACACATACACACAATGAATTATTTTAAAAAGTTCAACATTTAATTGAATGAAAGTTATCATCTGCTGTTTTAAATATTTTATAAATAACATCAAATATATACTATGCCTAAACAGTAACAAATAAATATAAAAATTAATCTTGAAAATACAAAAATGCCACTGATCACCAAAAAGAAAAAAAAGAAACAAAACCAGGGAATAAAGTGTAATTTGAAGAACTATTTTAATGCTGGATCCTAAGTGTATAAAATTCCCTGTATTTATAAACCCTAATTTTTAAATTAAGCAGCTTAATTGATGCCATAAGTTTGGTTCCTCTAATAAAAAACTGAAAAAGAAATCACAGGTAGCATTTAATTTTAGAATGCTTTGCAAATAACATTTTAGACATTTTCTGAATGAAACAATGGAAATTAAAATTTTACAGGATAATCCATTTCTGGCATTCATGGTTGAATGGTAGAATTCTCACCATCTATTTGGGACACCCAAGTTCAATTTCCAGCCAAGACACCTCATGCACAGCCAACAACCATCTGTCAGTGGAGGCTATGATGCTGAACAAGTATCAGCAGAGCCTCCAGACTATGACAGACTAGGATAAAAGGCCTGCAGATAGACTTCTGAAAAATCAGACAATTAAAACTGAATCACAATCATCCAATCTCATTTTGCATGGGATAGCTATGAGTCAAAAGCCAACCTGAAGGTAGCTAAAAACTACCATCAATTTTTAATTCTCAGTTGCACTGCTACTAAGTTACATAATGTGTATGCATAACTCTATTTTTAAATACTATTATAATTAGTAAGAATTACTTGTTAACAAGATATTAAACACATAAAACCAAAAACTAATTCAAAATTTTAGATTTTTAAATAATGTATCAAAAACTATGTTAATTTGACTTTTTCAAAAATAAAATATTTAGATTGTTACTGTTAATAGGGCAATCAAAGTAAATGAGAAGTAAAATATTCTTTTCAGTAACAGAAGATAAAGATTTCATTTAAAATATCATGTAAGGGTTAGAAAACCTGGGAACTACTCAAAGTCCTCAAATAAGGCCAGCTAAAATATTCTACCTCACTGCTATTCAACAACTTTAATTGAACTTTTACTAAGAAAAAGGAAAAAGAAAAGCTAGAAGTATTTAAATCTAAGGATGCATACTTAAAATTTTGATAAATATTGCCAAAGTACCCTCTAAAAACAGCATACTCCTACCAACAAAGTATGAAAACGCTTGTTTTCCCAGACTTTCATTATTAATCAATTTTTTTTCATCTTCAATAATTTGACAGGCAAAAGTTCTCATTGCTTTAATCTGCGTTTCTCTAATACTTATTATTTTTCATATATTTACTTGCCATTGCATTTCTTCTATGAATTGGCCAAACATACAGTATCTATTTTCTATTATGATTTATTTTATTTTTCATTTTTTGCAGTGTTCCCTGCCCTCCCCTCCCCTGGTAACCAACAAAGAAACTTTCTACTGTTTCTTAATTGATTTGTAGGATTTTTAAAAAATATATGTTAAGGATAATAAGAATAATTTGTCTGTTACACATTTTGCAAATGTTTCTCCACATTGCTGCTTACATTTTAACCTTGCTTGTATTGTCTTTTTCTGTAAAAAAATTAAGTTTTATGTAGTCAAATCTGTTTTTTTTTTCTTTTATGGAATTTGGGCTCCCTGTTATCTTTTAAAACACATTGAAAATTCCCTTCAAAAACTATATTATAAAAAGATGGTATGTTTAGTACTTAAGGAGGCTTCAAACAACTGAACACTCAAATACTAAGCACTGAAAGATATAGCTTAAAAATAACAATAAAAAATTTTTTTGCAGGCATTTGATTTAAAAATTAAATAGTTTAAGAAACACACCCAAACTTTTGAGCCATGGCTGACTGAGTTTCTCTTATGATCTCTCAGGTCCTTAGAATATGGTCTTGAGAAAAAAATAAGACTGTTACTAGTATGGTATCTTTTAGAACAATAGAATATAAAAGTTAAAAAAGAAACTCAAGGAGTTATTTACTCTACCCACTCCCCTAATCTGGGAATTTCTCAACTATCTCTGAGAGAGAGAGATTTAATTTGTAAAATGGATACATTTCCAGCTAATTCTAAATTATCAAATTCTTTAGCACGTTAAGCCAAATGCTGCCGCCTTGCTCTATTGTTTATATCGAAAAACAGAAAATAAGTGTACCACTTCTGAAAAGCAATCTCCTTTTAGATATTTAAAGACTTTTCTTCAAATTTGACAGTTCTTTCCTTACTGCACTACTATGACAAATACTTGTTTACAGGTTTTATTTTGTCTCAACCAGACTACAAACTCCATGAAGACAGGTAAGCATCTTTTAAACCTTAACCTGCAGGACTTATTTAGTATAAAGAAAGCACTTTATAAAAAGCTGGTTGAACTGAAAAAAAGAAATTACAGGTAACGATGCATAATCTACTTTTCAACAGTTTTAATTTGTCGGTCAGTATTCTTTTAAAATCAATGAAGTCACACTATACAATGTTTCAGTTTCTTCTAATTCTAATATACTAATATTTAATCTTTTGTCCTGAACACACCCCTGATAAATACATCATAATGAATAATTGTTCAATATATCTACAGAAACTGCTTAGGTCCAAAATAGTTCATGAAGTATTTCTTCCACATTGTACACAATCTTACTGATCTTCTTTCTTGTATGAAATATCATTATACCTGTGACATGTTTGTTAATACTAAACAATTTGGTGTTATAGCTATACAGTTCTAATTACATTCATAATGATTTACAAAAATCTTTTCCTGATTAAACATTATGAAGCTATACACAGCCAAGACACAAATATGGGTAAGGACCAAGTCAGATTTTTAAAGCATCTATGTTAATAATTTTCTAAAATAGGAGAAGGCAGGGATAAGAGGGTAGTTAAGAACCTGCATTCAGGAGCCACTGCTATACCCAACAACTGCCACTGATGGGGATGCGCTGCATCCCTTGGGGTGCTGAGGAGTCCCTGGTGGTACAAATGATTCACTGCACTCAGCTGATAACCAAAATGCTGAAGGTCCAAATCTACCAAGAGGCACCTCGGGAGAAAGGCCTGGTGATATTCTGAAAAAATAGCTGTTGAAAACCCTGTGGAGCACAGTTCTACACTGACACACATGAGGTCACCATGAATGAGAGTTGGCTCGATGGCAACTGGTAGGGGTGCTAAGGCATAAAGAAAAAAAAAAAAGCTGAGAACTATATAGAGATCTTTAATGACGAATCTGCTATACTTGAAAAAGAGTTTACCCTAAAAAATTTACTGGAATTTGAAAATACCTGAATCTTTACCAACTATTTGGAACGAAAATACTTACTTCACTGTGGCACTTAGAAGAAAATTCAGCTGTGGCATTAATAGATTGTCTGGGGCTGCCAGATAACGATCAAATTGAACCTTAATGAAAAAGAAATGGAAAACATAAAGTACATACATTTGCTAATAAACATTTCTTATACAAGTTAAATCTTAGGGAAAAAATTACACAATCTAAATAATTAATTCTTTGTGTTCTTAAATGGGTTTTCTTGGATATCCTAACTAAAATGCTCTAAGAAACTATCAACTTATTAATAAGTCAATATTAGCAATATTGATTTTTACAAGTTCTAAATCCAAACCATTAATGTTAATCACCCTCATTAAACTTCTGAGTAATATTAACAAAAAGTCAAGTAATCAGATTTCAAGTCTACCTGAATTCCTTGCATACACTGTGTTTGTTCATGCATCCATTCATTCATCTACTATTTACTGAGTAGCTACCATTTGAAAGGTACTATTACACAATAAAGAACTCTGGTGGTGTAGTGCCTAAGGCATGTGACTGCTAAACAGAAGGCTAGAGGTTCAAATCCACCAGCCACTCCTCAGAAGGAAGGCTGGGCAATCTACTTCTGTAGTGATACTGCCTCGGACTTTTTAGTTATTAGGCAACTAATATAATGCTGAGCCAAAGAACTATAATCCCTAGCTTCATAAAGCTTATGGTCTGGTGAGAGAGATATTAAACAAATAATGTTGTTTTTGTTATGTGCTGTCGAGTTGGCCCTGACTCATAGCGACCCCTCCTTGGGTTGCCGAGGCAGTATCACTATGGAAGTAGATTGTCCAACCTTCCTTCTGAGGAAAACAAATAATAATATAAATAAATAATTACAAAATACTGTATCAAGGAAAAAAGTAAGGTAGTATAAAAGCATAAATCAGAGGAATATGACCTAGGTTGGTGGTTTTAGCAAAAGCATCTCTGAGGAAAGGACACTGAGGTGAGATTTTAGAGATAAATAGACATTAACTAAGGGGAGTGGATTTTTACAGGGACAGGGACAGGGACAGCAAGGATGAAGGTGCTGAGGTGGCAAAGAGAATGGATAGAGAGGAATATATAGCGATTACAGACATTCATTAAGTATTAGGGCACTATTGGAGTTAAGTCGGAGAGTAGTATTACTTAATTTTTAAAAAGCTAAATCTGTATATAACAAAGCAAATTGAATGGAGGATTTAAGGGTAGATGCAAAGATACCAATTAGATAGCTCTTGCAACATCTTAGACAACAGAGGTAGTAAGACTGTGGAAAAGCAGAGATATTTGAAAGTCAGAGAGCAAAATCATTACGTAAAACCACTGACACCAGATTTTGGATCTATGTGAATTAATTCACAGCACTATCACGGTATATTTATTATTTAAATTTTTTAAAAAATTTTTTTCCACTGGTGTCCAAAAAAAAAAAAAACCTCCACTGCCATTGAGTGGATTCCACTCATAGTGACCCTATAGGATAGAATAGTACCCACAGGATTTCCATGGTTGTAAATATCTACGGAAGTTGAGTGCCTCAGCTTTCTCCTGTGGAGTGGCTGGTGGGTTCAAACTACCAACATTTTGGTCAGCAGCCGAATGCTTTAGCCATGTGCCACCAGAAGTCCCTTCACTGTCCAACTTTTATTCACCATTCACTACATTCAAATGTGTATAGCTTTCCTTCTCTGTTGGCCAAGTTGCTTTAGGAGTTACGGACATACAAGGATAAACCACTTTGTAACTGCTGCTTTCTAAACCCATCTCTAGTGCCCTCAGGGCTTTTTCCCATGATCTCTGACCTCAAAATCATACCAACATGTAGAAGTAGAAGGAAAAAAATTGTATTACTTATATTTCAAGAATTTTTTTTTTAATTTAATTATGGTAAAATATACAAAACAAACATTTGCCATTTCAACCATTTTTAAGTGACATGAGTAACATTCACCATGCTGTGTAACCATCGCCACTATCCTTTTCGAAATGTTTCTCTTCATCCTAAACAGAAACCCGGTACCCTTCTCTTGCACTCTGGTCATGTTATCAAGAGAGACTAGTCCCTAGAGAAGGATGCCATGCTTTATAAAGTAGAGGGTCAAAGAAAAAGAGGAAGACACTCAACAAGATGGACCCTACCAGTGGCTCTAACAATGGGCTCAAGCACAGCAGTGATTGTAAGGACAGTGCAGGACTAGGCAGTGGTTTATTCTGTTGTGCATAGGGTTGCTATGACTTGGAACAGACTCAGCAGCACTTACCAACAATAGTGGGTGTGAAGTAGTATCTCACTATAGTTCTGATTTGCTTTTCCCTAATGGCTAATAGGGAGCTCTGGTGGCATAGTGCCTAAGGTATTTGACTGCTAATCAGAAGGCTGGTGGTTCAAACTCACCAGCCACTCTTCGAAAGGAAGATTGGGCAATCTACCTCCATAGTGATACCACCTCGGAAACCCAAGGAGGGGTTGCTTTGAGTCTGATCTGACTCTATGGCAGTGAGTTAATGGCTAATAACGTTGAGCATCTTTCCATGTGCTTATTGGCCATTTTAAGGAACTATGTGGTACAGTGGTTAAGCACTGAGCTGTTAAGCAAAAGTTCAGTGGTTCAAACCTATCAGCTACCCCATGGGAGAAAGATGTGGCTATCTGCGTTCATAAAGATTTATACCCTCGGATGGGTAATTACAAGACAGGTTTGATATGGGTAAAGGAAAAAGCAATATAATTAAAGTATGTGATAGCACAATACCACTAAGGAAAAGGAAAACATGGAGAGGTACTTAAGAGGTACAGACAATAAAAGCAAATACTATTGTACACACAATACTGCATTATCAGTAAGAGCAAACATTAATCTATGATGGATACACAAGTATACCAGTATAGATAGGCAAACGAGAATATACCCATGATCATACATACATTTGTTTTACACAGGTAGCCTGCGTGTTCCTATTGAGACTAGAGGCCACACCACTGGAATTTTAAATACCAGCAGGGTCACCAGGACAGGTTTCAGCAGAGCTTACAAACTAAGACGGACTTGGAAAAAGGAAGGGGTCATCCACTTCTCAAAAAAAAAAAAAAAAAAAACCTGCTCAGTGAAAACCTTATGAATAGTAGTGAAACACTGTCTGATATATTCCTGGAAAGCTTTATGAATAGCCCTGAAACATCACCTGATATAGTGCCTGTGAAAGTTAAGTTGTGTGTCAACTTGGCTAGGCTTGGTTTAGAGTGGCTGGGCAGCTGGATGTACTTATTCCTCATGGTGAGATTGGTAATCAGCTCCATGGCGGAATCTACTGGAGCAGCTGAGTAGGTGCCTTAGGGATGTAGTTTGCTTCTGGCATGTAAGAAGACAGCTTTGAGAAAGGTTTTAGAGATTTTTTGGCACACCTGGACTCTGTGTGTAGCCAAGTATTCATTCAGCAGCGTGTGATGTTGTCTGCCAATCTTAAGACTGTTTCTGGACTTGAAATAGTGGTTTTCAACATTGCTTGAATGATTTTGGGACTGTGCCATCTCACTTTCCAACTTTGGGTTTGTCAGCCTCAGCAACCAGCAGCTGCCTGAGTTAACAGAAGCCTCCAGCATTAGTGGGGCAGGAGCAAAAGGCAGAGCTGAAGCCCAAGGTCGAGGGGCTTTCACCTAGCCCCTACAGATGGTACTTTGAAGTCAGACTTCTAGCCTCTTAAACTGTAAGATAATAAATCCCTATTTGTTCAAGACATCCTATTTGTGGTGTTTTCCCTTAGAGCAGCAGTAGAGGACCAAAACAGTGCCAGAAGATGAGACCATCAGGTTGGAAGTTACTCAAAATATGACTAGGAAAGAGCTGCCTCCTCAAAGCAGTAGTTGTTGTTGTTATGTGCCATCGAGTAGGACCCGACTCATAGAGACAACTCCTTGGGTTTCTGAGGCAGTATCACTACAGAAGTAGATTGCCCAACCTTCCTTCTGAGGAGAGGCTGGTGGGTTTGAACCACCAGCCTTCTGGTTAGCAGTCAAGTGCTTTAGGCACTACACTACCAGAGCTCCTTCAAAGTAGAGCCAACCTTAATGACATGGATGGAATAAGGCTTATGGACCTCCATATGCTGAAAGGACATGACTTAAAATGGGAAGAAACAGCTGTAAACATCCATTAATAATAGGAATGTGGAATGTACAAAGTATGAATCTAGGAAAATTGGAAGTTGTCAAAAATGAAATGGAACATATAAAGATTGATGTCCTAGGCATTAGTAAGCTGAAATGGACTGGTTTTGGCCATTTTAAATCAGATAATCATATGGTCTACTATGCCCAGAAAGACAAACTGAAGTCACATCCATTGTCATAAGCGGAAATGGACTGGTTTTGGCCATTTTAAATCAGATAATCATATGGTCTACTATGCCCAGAAAGACAAACTGAAGTCACATCCATTATCATAAAGACAATGGTGAAGTACAATGCTGTCAGTGATAGGATAGTATCTACATGCATACAAGGAAAAACAGTTAATACTATTAACTACTATTATTCAATTTACACACCAACCACTAAAGCTAAAGATGAAGAAATTGAAGGGTTTTATCAACTTTTGCGGTCTGAAATTGACCAACATGCACTCAAGATGTACTGATTATTACTGGTGATTGGACTGTAGAAGTTGGAAACAAAGAAGAATCATCAGCAGTTGGAAAATATAGCTTTGGTGACAGAAATGACACCATAGATCACATGATAGAATTTTGCAAGACCAATGATTTATTCATTGCAAATACCTTTTATCAGCAACATAAATTGTGGCTATGCACATGGACCCCTCCAAATGGAATATACAGGAATCAAATCGACTATGTTTGTGGAAAGAGGTGATGGGAAAGTCAAAATAAGGCCAAGGGCTGGTGTAACAGCCCATCAATTGCTCATATGCACGTTCAAGTGGAAACTGAATAAAACTAAAACAAGTCCATGAGAGCCAAAATACATCCCACCTGAATTTAGAGATCATCTGAAGAATGGATTTGAAGTATTGAACAACAATGACCAAAAACAGAGGAGTTGTTAGATGACATGAAAAATATCATACAAGAT